TCTTTCGGTCTTTCCTCATTTTTGTTTATTTTGTTTTTTTTTTTTTTTTTTTGAATGGTATATTCATCAGTGCAGACTTCATTAGACTATTTTACCTTTTGGTTTGCCACACTTGTTTATATATTTTTGTTGGTTAGATTTATACTGGTAGTGATGGTAGCTCTCTCTTTAACTCCTAAATCGGTATTTCTTCTTTTGTATACACATATTTTAACAATGATTAGTTAAAGAAGAATCCACTCTATTTTGGGTAATGCTGTTTAGTTGCATGTGGTAATTTTGGGTGGTGTGACTATTAAATGAACAAATCCTTGTTGAAGAAAGAGGAAATGTGTACTAAGAAGTGATTTGAAGAGAAGTGCTGGACGTTCCAAGTGTGAGAGCAACAGCCAAAAAGCCTTCTCCACTGGAGTGATTTAGTTTAGTATAGTCTCAGTTCTTTTTTTAGTATTTTGTCCCATAAAGTAAACCAGCATTTTTGTTCGCAGAAGTTCTAAATTGTTTAATTACTAGGATTGTGTTGAATGTGTGATGATTCTGTTTTTAAATCAATCTAAAAAAAGATAAATATTTATCATTTATCTATAAAGAAATGTTAGGTTCCTTTCTTGTATGGCAAAGATGTATTCATGGAATCAAATATATGTATGCTTATATATGTATTTATCTACGTGGCTGAAAGCATTCTATTGGCATCTGATGTTGAATAGCTGTTCATAATTTTTTTTGGTTCTTCATACTTGACAAATGATAATTTGAACAGTAAATCAAGTTGATGTTCATTTAGGATGCAGGATGGAAAATCAGTAACGATTCTCAGTAAGTGCTACCATAACCTGAAGAAATACAGATTTTGAAAATATTTTGTGAAAACTGAATATTAGGAGATGCAGGGGGGAGGGAGGTAATAGTGGCCTTCAACAGCTGCTTATGGAGGCCACAGGTCCTGTCAGCCTGCTCTGGCATGGATCCTCCACAGGCTGCAGGTAGATATCTGCTCCTCCGTAAATCTCCTGGGGGGCTGCAGGGGCACAGCAGGGCTGCACCAGAGGCTGCAGGGGAATCTCTGCTCTAGTGCCTGGAGCACTTCCTGCCCCTCCTCTTGGACTGACCTTGCAGTCTGCAGGGCTGTTCCTCACATGTGTTCTCTCTTCCATCTGCTGTTCAGCATTTTTCCCCTCTTCTTAAATATGTTATGACAGAGGTACCACCATTTTCACTGATGGGCTCAGCTTTGGGCAGCTGGACCACTTCGGAGACAGCTGGAAGCAGCTGGCTGGCATGGAATCAGCTGCTCCTGCTATGTCACACAGCAATACCTGCAGACCCCTGCTACCAAAACCATGCTATATAAACTCCATACACTGGCCTTCTTCCCCTCCCCATCCCACATTTCCATGCTCTTGGTACTGCTTGCTGCGCTGGCAAGAGATGGCAGTAAGAAAGTGACGGCATGTAAGGCCCCATGCCATCAGTTTGGTTAACTGTTCTGTCAGCAAGATCACTCTGAGCAGGGTTTGTTTATAGGATGGCTTCTGTACCAGTATTTGATTTATATTTGGGTGCTCTCTTGCCTTGACATGTGTGACTGAACAAGTAGTAATGCAGCAGTGGGAAGCAATTGAAAAATTGCTAAAGAAGTTCCAACTATTTATAACATCAGTGACCTAAAAATACACTAAAGTGGTTGATTAAACATGGGAACATTAGTTAGAAGTAATTTTTTTATCCTTATGGAAGCATAAAAGGGAGTACCATAATTATTATTATTTTTTCTAATCAGTATGGATTATCTGATATGCTTCGAAAGGTTTTAGCTGTGGGTGGGTGTGAAAAGATTAAAATTATGCACAACACAAGTAGGCAGTTTCTTAAAGCTGCTTAGGTATGTTCTCATCAAGTTAAATTGAGTCTAATATGGTTTTAATTGGAAGAGTTCTGTGCAAAATAAAACCCAGGTATCTCACACAAAAAATGCTTCAGATTTTTTATTAGAATGGGGGATTTTTCATGGTAGTAATGTTTTCAAAGCCCATAAATTAGTTCAAAACAAGCATCGATTTTATTTTCTTCAGTGCTCTACCCTAATTTTTTTTCCCCCTCTTTTTCTTCTGTTACAGTGGAACATATCACTCCAGAGATGAAAGCACAGATAGTGGACTTAGCATGAGCAGTTACAGTGTACCCAGAACCCCAGATGACTTCCTGAACAGTGTTGATGAGATGGATACAGGTCCGGTTTGTGCACATTTTTAATGCATGTTTTCCAAATACACTTGTATCCATTTGCAATGAAAACAAGCAACTCTGAAAAGCTGTGATGCTTTTTGCATTGTTTTTGCCTTTTCCGATTTCCCCTATTTCTCTGATGGAAAGATTATGGTTAGATTTGTGAAAAAAAATATATTTGTAATTAACTGTATTGGGAGGATGGGGAAATTGCTCGTAAGTAGTATCACTCCTGTTTTTATAAGGAATTTAAGTTTCTTTGCTTTTTGAAGTAATATTGTTCAGAGCTAAGAATAGAACCTCGTCCAGTATTGTTAATACTACTCCAAAACTATATTTGACTTAGTATTGTCTTTTTCCTTCAAGGGTAAAAATAAAATTATGCTGAATGACATCAAAGATCTGGGTCAGTAGGTTAAAGTTGGAAGCAAAGGCGTACTCTTTGTATATCTGCATGCAGTCAAGTTATCTTTGGGGTTTGTGATGGATTTCTGTTAGTCACACTGCTTGTATGATGCAAGAGGTACAAGATTAACCTTTAACCAATTGTCCTGATAAACTGTAGGTTTGGTACTTCCAGTATACTTAATATCCATCTTTGTGTTATAACTAGGTGACAGTATCGGCCAAAGTAACATACCATCCCATCAGAATCGTTTCCCAGACTACCTTGAAGCCATTCCAGGGACAAATGTGGACCTTGGGACACTGGAAGGAGATGGAATGAATATAGAAGGAGAAGAACTGATGCCAAGTCTGCAAGAGGCTTTGAGCTCTGACATCCTCAATGACATGGAATCTGTCTTGGCAGCCACCAAGCTAGATAAAGAGAGTTTTCTTACTTGGTTATAGGGGCCTCAGGGAGACTGAATTCTAAATCTGTGAAGGATCTAAGGAGATTAGGACATCTGTATCTGAAGTTCAGAACAAGCCAGTGTGGTGCACATTGGCTTGTGTTCAGAAAAAGTAAATGAACAAATACTCAACAAGATTCTTTGGGTTTGCTCTTCCTTGTCCATCGCTGCTGTTATATATTGCTGACTTTTTTCCACAGTTGACTCTGAAGAACAGACATCTTCTTGATCTTTTTCTATTGCTGTTGCAACTACTGTTCAAGGGGGGTGGGGAGGAACGATGAGCCTATTTTGGATGACGAATGCCATTCCTTTTGTCCTAGTGTGTGCTTGCATATCATTTTATCTAAGTCCTCAGATTTGAGAGTTAATTTCTGCATATCACTGCTTGTAGTTTGCTCAGCTAGTTGTCTCCTGCTGCCTGTGGTGAGTGGTAAAACATGATATACTGGGGTGACAAGCCAAAAATGATGTATCTGGTCAAAAGCAGTCAATACTGATTTGGAGATACGATGTAAAGGAGGGCTGAAGACTGGCATTAAGTGTTCCTACTAGTAGCTCTTGCATTAGCCACAAAGTGCTCTTGTTCGTATTTTATGTTATAGTAAATCATGAGTCATTTTACATAGAAACATATATGAACTTTGATTGTTGCCACATACTCTAGCCTAACTTCCATTTGTCAAAAATACTTTGATTATTTTTGTTAGTTGGTTTAACTGTAGCTGTAGGATGGGAAGTAATTATAGGTGTTCTGGGTTTTTTTTTATTAGTGAAATCTAAGGGTTTTTTCTGATTTCACACAGTCTTATTTAAATCTGAATTGTCTGCTTTTTTTTATACTTAAACCATGCCTATTGTAGCCTGATAAGCTAGTGAGTACATAAACCAGTATGATTTGCCTGTAACTTTTTTATTTTTTTAAAGGCTAGCTTTGAATGTAATCATTAGATTTCATGACCAGTGGCTTATTTTTCATGTGTATTTGTGAGACTTTGAATTAGAATCTGATTACAGCAATGTAAAAGTTAGAGTCCTTTGTCATGTGTACAAATTTTAAATGCATTTTAAAGTAGCAGAACCATTTTAAAATTACATCTAATCTCTCTTCTGGTTTTCGATTTTGGTCTCTAAGTGAGTTCAGATTTTAAAAACCTTCATGGGGAAAAAAATTATAAAAAGTTTCTCTTAAGTTAACACGGACAAAAATTCTGAACTATTAATATCACTGTGTGTTGCAATGTAAAGGCTAGAACACCAAAAAACTTCTCAATAAAAACTTCTAAGTGTAAGAGTTTGGTGAAAAATAAGCCCTGGACGCTATATGTAGAAGAATGTAAAGATATGTGTTAGATGGTGACATGAGCAGGTAATGAAGTGTATATTAGTAGTAGAGCTTAGCATGGGGTAGAGGTGAATATGAATCATTTTTATTTTAACAGGAAAAGATGTATCACTAAGTTGTCTGCAGGAGTTGACACAAGTTTCCAAAGAGTATTTTTAAATGAACAAAACGAGCATGAATCAAACTTTCAATATAAGCTATGAATTTTTGTGGGGCTTTTAGGATTTTTTCTGATGAAAAATAGTGTCACCAGTTAACACCTCTATAATTAAGGGCCTGTCACCATTATCAACATTGAGCCTTTATTTTCAAGGGTGTATAACATGACTATAAAGATACTGTAAGCGTGAAACTTAGATTTGGAAAAAAATCTCAGTTAGCAGGGACTTCTCCTGAGGAGAGATTTTTTGGGTTTTACCGTTTTGCATTTTTTTTAAAGACACTGATTATTTTTTTAACCTAGGAACAAATCAGCAAAACAAACAAAAAAACCCATCATATTATTATTGCCATTTGGATTTCTCTAATGCTTCAGAAATAATTCTGGTTTAAGATGATGTAAAGAAAATGAAGACTCTTAACTAAATCCTATTTTAAAAACTGAAGCAGCAGAGGCAGAGATTTGAAATTTACCACTATAAATGTACATTTATTACTTTACATAAATGTATTAGTGTTTGAAAAACACAAAATTTTGTGGCTTGTTATGGGATACAGGCACGTTTTAAAATAACAATTTTTAAAACACATTCACGATGATATATATTCTGCTACATCAATAATTCAGCAGTTAATAGGCCACTTATATTGTGCAATGACACAGTAGCTCCTAAAGCAGTGTATTGTGTCCAGGATAGGGATTTTGGTAGCATTTTTGCAATTTCAGTATGAATTCCTCTCTCTCTTACCCTTCAGGAAAAGAAAAAGACACTAAGTTTTCATAACTTGAATGATCTGACATAAAACCACAACAGCAAGGAAATTCAGAGTTGATTCTATTTCAGTTGTCTTCCACGGTTATATCCAGGTATCATAGCACATAGATAGTCACAGAATAAGCTGAGTTGGAAGGAACCCATCAGGATCATCAAGTCCAACTCCTGGCCCTGCACAGGACACCCCAGGCTTCACACCATGTGCCCGAGAGTGTTGTCCCAACTCTTCTTGAACTCCGTCAGGCTGGTGCTGTGAGCACTTCCCTGGGAAGCCTTTTCCAGTGCCCATCCACCCTCTGGGAGAAGAGCCTTTTCTTGATATCCAGCCTAAATTTTCCCTGACTCAGCTTCAGGCCATTCCCTTGGGTCCTGTCACTGGTCTTGAGAGTGAAGAGATCTTACCTGTCCCTCCTCTTCCTCTCATGAGGAAGCTGTAGACTGCAATGAGATCTCCCCTCGCCTCCTCCAGGCTGAACAGACCAAGTGACCTCAGCCATGAGAAGTGGCTTCCCCTCAAGGCTCTTCACCATCATCATTGCCCTCCTTTGGACACTCTCCATTAGCTTAATATCCCTTTCATACTGTGGCACCCAAACCTGTCCCCAGCACTTGAGGCCATCCCAGTATAGAGCAGAGAGGGACAGTCCCCTCCCTTGCCCAGCTGTGATGTTGTGCCTGATGCCCCCCAGGACAGGGTTGGCCCTCCTGGCTGCCAGGGCACTGCTGCCTCATGTTCAACCTTCTGCCAACCAGGACCCCCAGGTCCCTTTGTGCAGCGCTGCTCTCCTGCATCTCATCCCCCAGTACGTGCACACAACCAGATATGATGCACTGAGTGCAAACTCCTGACATGCTCTACCTAGCTACAACAGAAATGAGTACAGAACAAATTATCTTTCCTTGCTTTTGTGTGTTTGTCACAGCTTTAATATTTGAATGTTTTATTCTCATTGTAGAAACACTACACTACTACGCTTACTGTATTTGGGTAGCACTGCTTAGGGTAGATACTGACAAACTGGGAATCCTTGAACTGCTCTAACATTAATTATGTTTTGTGATACTTATTTTAATTAAGACATTTCCGTTCTCTCACCTACTAGGAAACATACCATAGAGATGCTGTACTGTTGGCAATCAATATTAATTTGGATTTATTTTTTTTTTTTAATTCTGCAAATGCATTATTTGATGAAGTGGTTAAAATTGTTTGAAATGCAGAAGTGTTTTGGGTAGTATTTTATACTGATGTATATATTGAAACAGAAATCATTGTAATAATTGTAATAGCTGTTAGTTTTAAATACACTATATGCAGACAGATGGGGCTGTACAGAGCTGTACTGTTAACACCCAGGCAGGGCTACTGCTTGGGAACAGGTTGCAGTGTCAGTGAACCATATGGATCAAATATTGTACCGTTCAGTGTTGGCGCTCACCAATGCAAAAGGAGAAGAGACAATTTCAACATGATTAACACTACATGGTAAATTAGTACTACAGTGACCTTTTCACTTACAAGCATGTTTTTTATACAAATTAGCAGGTGTGCCTGTATAAAATAATTTGTGTTCTGTATCATGGAAAAAGTACTCTCCACATTTAGAATCACAGAATCATGTTGTATGTTAGAGAATTATGTCCAAAATTATATCTATTACTTAACAATGTTATTTTTAGATATGAGCATGACTGTAAGCTAGGTACTTAAGTACATTCTGTTACATTATTTTTTCTTTATGTAATACTTTTTCAGTTGTTTTATTTGGTATAAATATATACTTTGTGCTTAAACATCCTTGTTTGTTTTTAACATTCAATAGTATGTAAAGATATGATTTCCTTCAGTAAGATAGATGCATTGAATTATTGGAATGCAAATTTAGTGTGTCTATTCCTGTCCCCCTTGTCATTGCCTTTGTAGTCATAAACTCCAGTTCTGCAAATACGGTGTGCAAGCTCACCTGAGAGACAAATGAGTTCCACTGGCTTCAGTAAAGGCCTAACATTAAAGTATACATCTCTGTGTGCTTGCAGTAATGAAGAGACAGTGACTCTGGTGAGCATCATGCAGCTTGTGTAAAACAATACTTTAATTGCAGATGGCACTATAGTGAGACCTGGTAACAGAACATGTGGGTATCTACTAGAAGAAAGCATCCACATTTTGCAGACAATGCTTGCCATGTTCGGATGGCAGATACATTTTTGGCTAACTCTTAAGTTTATGCATTAATTTGTGGCAGACTATCAATAAAGACACACTATTTTAATTTCCAAGTTTTGATTTATGAATTGTGAAGTATGTAATGACATACCTTGAAAGTGCCTGAAGATTTTAGTTCAAAGTATCTTGACAGGTTTCATTAATTTTGACCCTCTGTATAACAGTCTGAATGATGTTTTTTTTTTAAATGTAGTGCAATTTGGAAAGTCCAAAGTCATATCCTGTTTGCATTTTAGCAGTTCCAGAGTTGCTGCTGTTGAGCACCAAATGCCCCAGCCCCATGAGATTCAGCACATTTGTGTGTCTTCTTAGAAAAGGGTACAGCCCTTGATGGATTTATCAGTTTGTCTTGTATTTCTGAGCTCATAGCCAGCTTTAGTCACCAGATCCTTCAAATTTAAATGTAACATCACACCTTCCACCTGGGAGTAGGCAGCCAGTGCCAGGGAATAATAAGGCACCAATTTTGTTTGCTGATATCACTCTCATTTATAAGGTGGTGACATATTGCAGTAGTTGAAGTATGAGTGACCTTCTGAGGCAGCCCTAAATAGACTGTATTACTGCAAAGCAGGATATTTGGTCCAGGTATTACAGGCTCACTTGGCAATTCTCTTTGAAATATTTTCAACACTTAGTTAAAAATAAAGAGTATTTTTTTCAGTAAGCCAGAAATAATATGCTTCCAAGGAAGCAAGTGCAAGTTATCAGCCAAAGAAAGCATTTTTCATCTTGGATCATCAACAGAGTAATTATTTGAGATCAGGCTATGATCTGTATAGCACCTCCTGTTTTGGAGGTTTATTCAGAGATAAACCAGGGCCACTGATTTTATTTACAGTATCAGCATCCAGAGTTTATATGTTCCTCCTGAAGAGTAAAAGTGTGCTTCTTGACCTTTCTTGTCACTACTTCTTATTGCTAACAGGGATTATCTGCACCTGCTAAACTTAGGTGTCATCAAAATAGGAAGATGTCAGTATAGGATGAGAGATCTTGGTTAATGTGAAACACTGAATCCAACCCTTAACTGAAGAATCAAATTATCTTCAGAACAGAGGGTAGAGCTGTGTACCAACTACTGTATCCAGTACTGAATGCCTCTTAAATAAAACAGCCAATGTGTTTTTCTCTAGGAGAAAATGGCATCTCTATAGCATATCATCATATAGCATCTCTAGGACGTACTTTCAGGGATCATGTTGCGTGAGAAACATAAATGCTGACACATCTGACAAAGCTGCCTTATGGATTCTGTGGAAAACTCAAGGTTTTTGCTTTTCCAGACATCATCTGTCCGTAATGCAGAGGTTGTAACAGTGAATGCTACAGATCTAGGCTGTCACACACCGGTTTTATTTTCTCTGTATGAGAATGCAGTTGGTCATTCTGATTGATAGAATTTTCTGTATTAAATTGGCTTGGTTTAGAACATGAGAGGCAAAGTAGTTTCATGGGATTTTCCTGTCTGTCAGCAAGTGTGACTGGAGGGAGGGGGTTGTTTTGTTTTGGGTTGTTTTGCTTCATTTTGTTTTTTAAGGGAGCAGCCCAAGAGGCTTTTTTTTCAGTGTCCTCCAACAACAAACTAGAACTCCATAAAAATGGTACATTCAATCTCACCTGAAATGCTCTTTCTTCTCCCATATATGTCAATTCTGAGCTGCTCTAGTGTGTTTTAAATTATTTATTTTATTTACCATCTGTGAGTTTTGCTTTCCTAACACCTAAAGGCAGTGCTGTAATACTAGGTGCTGTTTGTCCCCAGAGGAGAGCAGAGTTCCACCATTCTGAAATCCAGCTGCCATCGTGTTTGATGTCTGTAATATAACACAAAATTACAAGGTGCCCTGCTTCTAGTACAGGGTGGTTATGGGCAAGCATGATTTTTTTGAACGATGGTGGGTTCTTGTTCTTTTTTGAGACTGGAAAAGTTTGGCTGCGTCATCACTTTTCAGCAGCCAGCTGTCCTAGCAGGAGCAGGGAGTGTCATAGTGCCTGTTGGAGGACTTCTGCCCAGCACTTAACCTGATGTTAGCCATGATGGATTGTTTTTTTTAAGCTGACAGAGTAATTCAGTCTTTCTCTCATAGTTTCATTGTTAGACATGCAAATACAATTGTCTCAGCTCTCTTGACTGACAAGGGGCCCTTTTCAGACTTTGCCGAGCGACGTAATCCTTTCATACCTATCATCTGCTGTTGAAGTGTGACCCAGAGGCCTCTGAGAGGTTCAGCTGCAGTCCTGGACTGTCAAAGTCTACAGTCAAAACAAGGTAACTGGTTATATTTGTGTATGACAAAAACTCAAACCCACATTGCTAAGAAATGGTGTGATTTAAGTGGTGATACCTTGCAGCAAATGGCAGTGACTGTGAGTGAGGTACCTTCTGGTTAGGCCAGTGGGGTTCAAGCCTGAAAGTGATTATCAATGGCTGTATTGTCCAAGAAGTTGCTGGCAAAAGCAAAGCCTGTGGGGCAGCCTGACTCTTGCCATACAGGGGAGATTCAGGCTGTGGTTGAGAAGAGTGTCAGTGCTACAGAAGGTGACAGCTGTTGGGCTGATTAAAGCTTCCCTATCAATGCAGCCAGCCACTCCCTTCATCCCTGCCTGCAGGTGATTCAAACAACTGCTCTAAATCCCTGGGATTTGGATTTGTATTTACCAGTGTGTAAAACTGTGACTTCCCTTATTTTTCAAATGTTTTTCACTTAAAACATGCCTCTCCTTTTAAAGGTCTTTGTTCCTGTGAACAGCCTTTCAGGATCTGGTAGTCTTTCTATGGATATAGATTTTTCTTTTTAATGTGAATGTGATAGCACCAATAGATCACTGAGAAATAAAAATTTCTTTTTGCAGCTTAGTGGCAAGAATGCTAGAAAATCTGTCACCCAAACAGTAGTATCAGCATCTGAGTTTCTCTCATCCATACACTAGCCATGGTTTTGAAAACAAGCTGGTTTTACATGAAAATCTATGACTGCAGTAAGGCTCAGGTTCTTTGCAACTGTCATCTCTGCTGGTGATGTTTGCTATTGCAATATGTGGATTTTGCTTTATCATCACCTTGAAGAGAAAGTACTGGAGCCTGGTAAGGTTTATGAAAATAGGAAGGAAGCAGATGTGTTTTGCTGTAGCATGAGGACCGTGTTTCTTAGCTCCTCTTGGAAATGTCTCACTTTGAAGACATCTGGTGGTCTTGGCACTTCATATTTACTTGCATTTTATTTTGAGTGTCGCTGACATCTAACAGATGACCACATTATTGAAGTGATTGCACTGGCAACATCTGAAACAGGGTAAAGATGTTTTTTAAAATGTAGTCAGGTACAATCTACCTGGGTACACATTGCCCTGGATAAAGACATTTCCCACCTTGTAATGGCACATCTGACTTCCTGCTGAGCCTTTGAGTGAGGCATTTTACCATTTCCCAGGAAAGCTGTATGCATGTTTTTACTTGTGTCCTGGGAGCACTGAAATGTTAATGTCTGCAAAATGCTTTAAGAGTTAAGCATTAAGTACTTCCTATTAATTCATTCTCAAGCTGTGCTATTTTGGGGCTTCTACTCAGTGACATCACCACATATGAATATAATCTTTGCAATGTGGTATAAGGTATGCATCTGATTCTGCAAGTTTAAACTCACAAATGCATTTTAGGATGGTCATATATTGGTGTATACCAAATGATGGTTTTCACTGGCATGTGAACACTCAGTAGGAAGGGTGAACTGACTCAGATTAGCCCTCCTGTGCTGCTCACCAGTTCAATTCCCTTCTAAATCATAGAAATGAGTGCACAGTTACCACTGGCAGATTAATGTGCACCAGTTCTTCCCTGAAAACTTTTGTGCCTAAATCCTTTAGGTTTCTGTTATTTTTTAGACTGAGCTTTCTTGTTGAACTGCTTCTGGGAAGCCAGAGTGACCCTTTAGTGTAGAAGTACATTGAGTGATCATGAATGTGAGGGGGAGAAATCTTGCATCATTATACATCTCTGCAGGCATAGAGTATTGTTGCATGCATTTGTGTGTGTGTGTCTGTATATAGATACTCTATATATAAACACTAATTTCCTGCCTAAAGATAAGTCAGTTTCTCATGAGCATTATATTTAGGGGAAAAAAAACAACAGTAAAAGTGTCATCCCAGTTACGAAGTCTGCATGGTTGTTACTTATTTTAAATATTTAGGGTTTTAGGTGTGACGTAGAATCATTTCAGTCAGAAAACCAAAATGAATAATGAAAGAATATGAACACACATGCTATTCCATTGTGCTGCCTCTCAAGAAACCAGTCTTGAGTAGTCAGTTTTTGGGTACTTAAAGGCACCTTGCATGCAAAAACCCAAAACCAAAGGGCTGGGTAAGAGAAGTAGGGTTGCCAGTCTCTGCCCACTGTGAGAGAGCATGTTTTGCTTTTAAGCTGGGACCAAAGGGAAGTTGGCTGCAGGTCAGATTTGTCTGATGTTTGCCTTCACGCTTAATCCATGCTTTGCACTGTAGTGTGTGTGCATTCTATCACAGCACAGTCACAAAGAGAGATGTGTGTGTGGCTATTGAGACATGAACTGGTATATTATAGAGCACAGAGTTTACTCAGAGCAAGGATTAACCCCTAATGGGTGCCTAATACAATGGAGTGCCATGTTCCACTGATACACAGCACATGCTGTGCTACTTGCTCAAGCTATTCTCTTCAAATAGTTTTTTTTGATTGCTTCCCTATCCCCAAGATCCTATGACAGTTACTGGAGTTTCTTTTGGTTTTAAAGATTTAAGGTGCCTCCATGGGTGGGCCTAGACTTTTTTAAAATGTATTAACATGGACTTACTCTGCACTTGAGTGTAACTACTTCTGTGCTCTGACCTTGTTGATAGGTATGTCTTTGTTAGAGCAGCAGCACTGGAATATAAGATGACAAGTAGATGTCCAGGCATTTGAAGCAGACTCAGGATGTTTTTGAAGCCAGAAGTCTGGGAAGAATGGGGTTAGGAAAGGCAGGTCCTGCTTGATCAACCTGATCTCCTTTTATGACCAAGTGACCTGCCT